TATCTATCTATCTATCTATCTATCTATCTATCTATCTATCTATCTATTTCTCTATTTCATTATCTCTTTCTCTCTGTCCCTCCCTCTCTCCAACACAATGCATCTAATTATCTGCTCTCAGTTTAACGTTGTGCCAGCTTAATTTTTTTCAGAGAGCTCCTTCTCGGTAGGCAGCCCAAGGAAAGAACGGGTAAGGCCAGCATGGAACCTATGAACAATTTGCCTGAGCTTGTTCCATTTTTTCCTGCGTTTGGAAATTAAGCTTGCTGTGTCTTTTGCCAGAGGTTCACTGAACACCCACTCTGGGGAATGGCCACATAGACTCAGAATAAATTATTCCTATTATTCCCCCTCTCTCTTAGCCCAGCCCACCTCACAAGGTGGGGGAAATAGGAAGGGGTTTTATTGGTCTGTTTGCTGCCATCCATTATTTCTTGTCTGGCCTTCAGGTACCTTGGAAAATAGCTTGACCCACTTCCTCCTCTCTGTGGCAGCCCCTCAAATATTGGAAGACTGCTATCCTGTCTCCCCTGGTCCTTCTCTTCACTGGACTAGCCAGGCCTAGTTCCTGTAACATATGTTTTCATATGTTTTAGCCTCCAGTCCCCTCATCATCCTGGTTGCTCTTCTCTGCACTTTTTCCTAGAGTCTCAATCTCTTTTTTTTATAGTGTGGCGACCAAAACTGGATGCAGTATTCCGGGTTGTAAGTTGAGAATTCGCTGCATCCTGTCCTGGAAATCTTTTGAGGTACTTGTCTTTCCTTCTTAAGGCCCAGGGAGTGGTGAAGGACCTGGACGCAGAGCTGCTTCGGCACTTAGCTCAAGGCACAGCCTTCCTGCAAGTCAGCACCAAAGCGAACCCCCAAGGAGAGATCCGAGGGAAGGTACGTCTGCTATTTTAGCTCTAAAACAGGTTTCTCCAACCTTGGCAACTTTACGATGTGTGGACTTCAACTCCCAGAATTCCTCAGCCGGCATATGCATATGCCGGCTGAGGAAATTCTAAGAGTTGAAGTCCACACGTCGTAAAGTTGCCAAGGTTGGAGACCCTCTGCTCTAAAAGACTCTGATTTCCCAACCAGGCTTCTCATGGCTCCCTGGATGCCGTTTGAGCATGTGAAGAGTGATTTCTCCCCACCCCCCTTCTTCTTCTTAGGTTGTAACCATAGATGGTCCCCAAAAACACCTGGGATTAGGGAGGGATGGTTTCAGGTCAAAGAAAACCCCCTTCCTCCCTGCAGCGATGCACCAATTAGAAAATAATCATTGGCGATTTCCAGGTGTTGATTTTAAACTACAGGTGGGGGGGATGAGAAGAAATATAGAAGTAGTCTCCAAATATTTGAAGGGTCGTCATCCAGGAGATTTACCTTCTGCTGCCTCAAAGAGCGGGACCAGAATTAATGAATCATTAATTATATATAGCAGGCGTGTCAAACTCAATTTCATTGAGGGCAGCATCAGGGTTATGTTTGACCTTGGCGTGGCCAGGGGGCGTGGCCAGGGGGTGTGGCCAGCTCAACGTCCCATTTTCAGCTGTCACTGCCTCCTGCAGCCCTCTGACAGTGGAAATGGAGCTGGGGGCTGGGGTGCATGCAGCCCTCCTGAGCTCCATTTTCACTAGAAGAAGCACCATCGCTAATTCCAGGGTGGTCCAGCAGGTCAGATCTAAGCACCCCGTGGACCAGATGCAGCCCATGGGCCTTGAGTTTGACACCCCTGAATTATAGGGAAGGAGATTCAGGCTAAGCAGTGGAAGACTTACTGTAGCACCTCCAGTGTCAACTCATAAAATATTTCTATGGTCTTGTTAGAGTTGCCAACAGAAAGGGAGGAGGGAGCAATGCGGTAGCTTGCAAAACCGAAACTGCATTCCATCAATGTTTTCAAAGAAAGTAACTAGGTGACTGAAGTTTCTACCGCACAAAATTCTACCCGGAGAGTATGATGGATGACTCTTGGCTATGGATGTGTCCCATTGGAGAATATGAATTACGATACACCCAGGGGGTGGAGGGAAAACCAGGGTCAAGGGTGACAAGGAATGATGTGTCTCAAGAGTCGGCTACACTCAGGTAGTGACAGACATGTTAACTCTCAATAAATCCTTTTGAAGTTTTGGAAGTTTGGCTTGAGATTCATGGACTTAAATGGGGGTAACTGCCAGAATCCTGACATCCAGTGATGGAGCAGCCACAACTTCTGGAGGCAAAAATATTTTTTTATTTATTTTAAATAATTAAATTGAATTGTTAAATTGTCCCTCGGTGAGTTGGCCATGTTGAGTTGGCCACAGCAAGTTGGCTGCAGTGAGTTGTCCCATTCCAGACCAAAACTGGATGCAGTATTCCAAGAGTGGTCTTACCAAGGTGTTATAAAGAATAGAATAGAATAGAATAGAATAGGGTAGGGTAGGGTAGGGTAGGGTAGGGTAGGGTAGGGTAGGGTA